GTAAAACTAAAATTCATGCCAATATTTTTCCATGATTTATAATAATTGGAGTAATGCAAATGCATATTTTCTAAAAAAAAGTCATTTTTAGTGAAATTTTGCCGGGAATGGGGCTTTAATCTCGAGAAGAACTCATCTCAAATTAAAGCCCCCTCTTTAGTTTGCAAAATTAGCCTCCAAAAGAAACCCACCTCGAAAAGAAGCTTCTTTTTAAGGTAGCATAGGCTTCTGTTCGAAATAGTATAGTACATACACTGTACATAAATCTCAAAAAGCAAAATAAATTATTAAACAACAAGCTTGGTTTATACAGTAGTTTAGGTGATTTAACGCCAGTTAATACACTCTATGATACTGATTGATGTTGTATTTGCCTTATTTATTGTTTTTATAGTACAAATTCCTAAAATTTACAGCACTAATTTTGAAAGCAGCCCCCTCTTTACTTTGCAAAAGTAGCCTCGAAAAGAAGCCCATTCAAAGTTCGCAAAAAAAAAAAAAGCCCAGGAATTCAATTTGAGGTTTTATGGTACAAGGGAAATACTGTACTTCCACAGGTGTATACCGTAACTGTGAATACAGCAATTCTTCCATATGGAAGCCAAGGTATCATCTTGTGTTTGGTCAATATGCCATATGTTCAATTTACACTTGGGCAAAGCATGCTAAAATTCAACATTTCAAGGTTCTTTTTTGTTGTTTTGATACTTGATAGATACATATTATATGCATCTAACAGTTTATATAAGCGTGCTTCAAATGCGTCAACTATAATATTAGTATACAGTAGTAGGATTAATAACTTGAGTCTATTAATAGATTTTAATAACAAGGTTGATGCAGACACACACACCGTGACACACATAATAATGATGTTGATACACATGAATAATGAAACAATGATGACAATTATAATACGATCGATGTTCAAACCAGATTTTACTTACAGTGTTTAAATGCTAATGCCACTGAATATCTATCTTCAAAACTCATTTTCACCCAATCTGTTCATTCACTAGGAATCAAATACAGTAATTTAGTTGTTCCCCATGCAAATTCAAATTGTGGTGAGTGTACATTTCATACCGGATAGTCTAAGCCGAGTTGAAAGCAATCGTTATGCATCTAGGTGAAACTGTTTCCGCTAAGATAGGTCTATTTGAAAGTACTTTTTTTTTTGCAATTTGAAGTTATAGGGGCCTACTTTTAAATTTTACTAAGCCTACACCATTGGTCATGACCCAAAATTGGGTTGCAGGAAATTTCTGTGTGGATGTGTCATCAATTTAACAGTCCTCAGTCAAAATACAAAAAGTTGTCAGTATGTGCATGTAGGACTAGTGAATTAATTTTTAAGATACACTAACTTTATATTACCACTGTAAAGTAAAGAATGCTATTAACAAATCACAGTTAACAGGACAAAATACAGAGATGGAAGGAACTGGGTGGCACACAAGTCAGGGTGACGCTAAAACTTTATTACTGTACTTGAAAAGAAGGCTATTGACGAAACACAATGATCAGAACAAACATAGTGACACTGACAAAACTTGGCGGCATATATAGTCCCATATGACTTAAATTATTTGCAGGACAATCAAAATGTACTTTTAAAAGCACTGTTCTTTGGTTCACCAGCTGTTTATTATCATGTAAAAATAGGCTTATGAATGTTATTGATGATAAAACTCAAAATAACCTAAATATAGTCTATGATTTAACAATGGGCTCCTTATACAATGGGTCATAAACAGGGGTTTAGCCGGAAAAACCAAATATGCTGTCCAAAATTTAGTTTAGCTTACTGTTCTAACATCACTTAATACTTATATTTATGTTTGACCGCTTAGCTTCAAAGCACATTTCTGTTATTTTAATGTACATTAGACTGAATAAAATAAATTGAATTGAATTGAAAATATGCTTTAGTTGAATGCAACATTTGATAGATTCAAAGAATATAAAGAATTTGCTGAAGTAGACCAGACCCAACTGGGCTAGGCCGACCTAAGTAGGCCAAGCCGTCCAAACTGTCACGGTAAAAGTGGCTGTCTTAAATAATTTTTGGTCGTCCAAAAGACAGCCGGACGGCTCGCTGGCTAAGCCCTTGGTCATAAATCAGGCATCATGACTCAATTTTAACATGTCTACGTTTTTACTTTCTCTGGGCTGCTATGTTAAATTTAGCAGAAATAATAAAAATACTAATATTGGATGCTTTTTTTATAGTTCTGTTTATGGGGTTTAATTTTACGTCTGAGTGGGGCAACCCCTAAATCATAAAGCGCTTTTGGTTTCTTCATAGTACACAGTAAAGAATAGGACCACAGAAAGTACCCAGTGATCGATTTTTGGCGCTACCGGTATTTATTTCATTTATAGTCTATATCATCTTCCTCATTTTCCAAACCACCCCCTTCACATTACCCAGAGGTTGCATTTTTGTCCTTAATTTATTGGAAATTTATTCATCAATTAAGAACCAGGGATATATACCTATGGCAGGGGTCTCAAGTCTCCCGCGAATCACAGGAATCTCCCTGAAATCAGGAAGGCCTAATGGCCTCCTCTGTTGCACCCCGGCAAGAATGCAAAATCGCCTGGAAAAATAACCCATCTTCTACAAATTTTGGGGCCTCTGCTATGCAGAGCTGACGTCAGGGAAATAATTTATAACAAAATGGTGTAGTAAAACATCCAATCATTCTGCATCAGGTGCAGACATTTACATGAGATGGGTCAGATGGGGAGATTTTCCCTCCTGCACTTTTTTTTCAAATGAGTCAACCACATTTTATTTCATTTTTATGCCTTTCACTGAAGATCTCTCAAAAATAAAGTTTGCTATAAGTCTTTCCTAAAATTTTTTTGTTTCAATAATAAGATGAGAATTACCAAACTATAATTAAAAAAAAAAAAAATACACACACAATAATCGGACAATTGAGTTTTTACTATACATGAGAAATAATACCGATCATATCACATAAAAAACATATGTTTGTTAACTTTAGCATGTAGCTCATTGTGTTCTTGTTCCTGGTTTATCTTATTACATAGTCAATGAATGGCCATAAAAGTTCATTGTATTTTATGAGATGAGAATTAACAAATATAAAAAACTAAGACTGACTGGATGAATGAAATAATACAGAGAAGGAATAATATTGAACATATTATATACATAAAAAAAACAACTTCCTGGTTCAGTTTACAGTCTATGAATGAACCCAGAAACTGGTTTATGCAGGAAGAGACAAAATAAAAGAAAGATGAAAAAAGAAAGAAAAAATGGATCGCCCAAAACGCCTCATAGGTTATTTTCGGGCGTCTAAAAACAAAACATTTCATGGGGAATTGACACCGGACCCCCTAGGGTAGTATTATCTCGATCGGCCCCACTTTCGGTCCCCCCTTTCAGACATCTTTGGAACCTGAAATGTCTTTTATGTGATGAGAATTTTTAATTAAAAAAAAAGGAATGACTGAATGAATAAGGAATTAATTTTTAGATAAGAATTAATTTGTTTAAACTAAAAAATATGTTTGTTACATTTATTACGTAGATAATTTTGTGTTCTTTCCCTATAGTTTAGATTGCATTCAATGAATGACCCTAAAAAAAGTACATTGTCTTTTAAAAAATCAGTATTACCAAATTATAACACAAAATTGGAATAACTGAATAAAAAAATTACTTTTTATATAAGAAATAATATTGAACTTAAAACATATGTTTGTTAAATTATAATAGATCATTTGTGTTCTGTTTCTAGTTAAGCTTGAAATCCATGAATGACCCTTAAAAAGTACACTACCTTTTACCTATGTTAATCACTATTAATAATATAACCGTATTTATCAATAGAAAAATATTCTCAATAAAAACCTAACCCAATCTCATTATTATCAATGGAATATTACCAACAAAAACTCCTACATGAAGTGCAATATAACTTGTTTGTTTTCTTCACATTTAATATTGTAAGGAAGTCTTTTTTGCACTAATAATAATAATAATATGTCGTTCTTATATAGCGATTCATGCCTTTACGAAGCCTCTAAGCGCTTCACTAACCATTAACACAGTTTACATTTGGCAGTGTATTATTAGATAGGAGCTCTACTAAGCAAGAGTCATCTGCAACCTTCAAGTACTTGCTTATAAATATGTACTATATTGTAATATCAAAATTAAACATCAGTAATATATAAATAAAATTATTAAAAATTCAAAGTTGTTTTTTAGTTATTCTAATAATTTCAAAGATGGCATATGTTTAATTCTCACATTATCATCAACATCAATTTGTAAACACATCTCTCTGTAGTATTTACTTTTCTTCATAATCATTGTACTTACCGTAAATGCTCGAATAAGCGCGTTTCCAAATAAGCGCTGCACCAAACCTGATATTATTCTAGCTAAGTGCCACTCTTGAATAAGCACAGCGGCGCTTAATCATTACCCTGTGTAATTAAAAACACTTCAGGGAAACAGAGTTTTAAATATAATGTATTATAGTGTTAAAAGAAATAAGTAACACAATGAAGACAAACATTTCTTAAAACGTTTATTTACGATGACATAGGACCTAAGATAGGCCTACTGAACTACAGGAGTATGTGAGATAGGTAACAAAGGAATGGGCATGGAAAGCACCACACCGATATTCTTTTATAAGTACCGCTCACGAATAAGCGTCGCACTGAAGCCGCCAAAAATTTTTATAAGAGCTTCGGTGGTTATTCGAGCATTTACATGTTATTACAGACCTATAAATCAATGCAAAATAAATCCCTTGTAGGATCTCTTGAATCTGTGACATACTCATCATTTTCATTTGAAATTCAAACAGGATTCTTGACAAGAATATCATTTCCTTATCCCGCATGGATTACATGGTAATCTTTACGGATATGGTATGAATTATTGGATCCCATCACAATGTATTAGGATGAAAACAGGAAGGGAAGGTGTGGAATCCTTTTCATTATGATTATAGGAGTGTCTATACATAATTTTATTATCATTATTATCTCATAAAGTTAAGTGTTTAGAAAGTGAGTTGACCAACTAAAAAAAATTGAGAGAAAAATATAATATTAAAATTAAACTTAAATTAAACTTCTCATTTAAAAAAAATCACATATATTGTTATCACATTTCGGAATAGAACAAAAGTCAAATAGAACAAAATCAACAATGTACACACATTTTACTATTTATGTATTATGTAATTATCATTTACATATAGGAAGAATATAGGAATTAATTAATTAATAGGCAAGGAAATAATTTTACTGTTTTTAATTTATTTGAAAGCTAATAACATTGTGTAATAGTAATATCACTTGATATAGAAAAATAAAAATTTAATGGTACAATTAGAACAAGTTAAACTTATATAAAAATACTGCCATGGTCACAGAGTCTTAACTCCCGTCCAGATTATCAAAGTTTATTTGACAAAAACATGTGATATGCCTAAATATGGTCATGATGACATCACATAATGACCATATATAGGCACATCATGACTTTATATGGGAATATGATAGTTTTTTGTCAAATACTGTATAAGTGTATAGGCTGGACACGGCTTTATCTATGGTGATATGAATTAATAATTAACTAGCAGTATATTACATTTGCAAACAAAACTCATTGATCATTTTATCTTTGTGATTTGAGCAAACCATTAGTCTATTACTGTAATGATGAATTGATGGATTTTGTAAAATGGCTGACTAAAAGTAAATCATCACACATTAGCCTAGAGCTTATTCTACACAAGTGTTACGATCACCATGATATGCCAAAGACTCTTTAATATTCAGCTCTCATTCCAAAATAACCAAACTTGAATTAGTGAACATATGGGTATGATGCATAAAAAAAATCATGTGGCTGGTAACAGCTTCTTCATGTTTACACCTGATTATTCTCAGAACTCAAGACAGCTGCAGTCAAGGAAAATCATGTTGGTTGGTTCATTGTAAACCAAGGTAATTAATTGTCCTACTCAACAACACCGGACGTTATTAACCATTTAATTATTAATAGAAAGGGATAGCATATTAGCTCTGTGTTTGTAATTAAAGTTCTGTGCCCTGGCTATGCAGTAAAAAATAAGATGTTCCCTTAACAGGGATTCCCCTAAAGAAGTATGTCCCAAAGGAGGTGGGGGCACCCAGTCTAGATCTGGGTACCCATGTGTACTGTATGACCATGCTTCAAAAAAAGGCCCTAAACAAGTTTTGAGATGCAGAGAAAATTCACCCCTTTTCATGTAATATATTAAAATCTTACCCCTTACATAATTATTTTTAGAGTAAAAAGTAACCCTAAACATGAAAGGGCGAAAAACCTCTTAAAATTCTGGCCACCCTATAATAATAGACAACACACGTTATTCCTAGAATAAGTATAGGCCTAGGCCTAAACATATAACAACTGTAAACCGAAATAAAGACACTGTCTGACACACACGACGACGCACACACTAAACACGTTCTTAATTTCCTCAAATATGATACCCTATTTATGAATACCAGCATTTTTCAGACCCTAAAAACGTACATACGTGCCTTTTCAGGGAAACACAACCCTTTCTACATGATTTTGGTCATACACATGCACCCCCGGGGGTGGGGGTTCTGCTGTAGGAAAAAAAATAGAAGAAACTTACCACAGTAATACTGATAGCATCGTCATATTGCCCCATTATCACGCTTACTACAGCTGATGCTAAAAGTAGTAGTATCAATGGATCTTTAAACTAGAAATAAGTAGAAATATATGTTTACTACAATCTGTATACACATGGATAAAACTAGGGCATGAATTTGAAGAACCAAGTAATTCCACAATCTTCTGAATGTTTGCCAATTAAATTAGTCAAATTGAATAAAATAACAATTAATAACAATAAATATCAATACAACAACAAAAACAAGTAGAATATGTTTACTACAATCTGTATAACTCTCATGGATAAAATAAAAACTAGACTAAGAATTTATGAACCTTAGTTAATTTCATAAAAATATCTTCTGAATTTTTGTCAATAAAATTATTCAAATAAAAATAAACAAAAATAATAATAAACCGTAATAACAATAATTAACAAGAATAACAATTAACAAGAATAACAGAAATAACAAGTTAATTTTAATAATTAATAGCAATAAAAATATAACAATGACAATTTATTTTATATAACAATCTTAATAAAGGATGGTTTGGGGATAGAATTTATAAATATACCATAATTTAAGTTCAAATAATTTAATCTGATTTCTGTAAATACATATATAAATAATTATAATGACTTGACTCTGAAAGGTAACATTTTTATATTTTGAATATAAATATAATTATCAACTGTGAATGTTTTGCTATGTCTTTCTGAAAAATATTTAAAATGTGTTTGATTTATTATCAGCACAGCAAATGGCAAATTAATTTATGGCAATAGATGTAACTTGTTAGTGAAACTGATGAATCCAGTCCTGTCTGATTACTTTATCATTACAATTTACTTGGCTTGTATTCTAAACACACTAAATCAGGAAGAAAGCTTTTGAAACATTTTCTGAAGAATGACAAACTTGGAATTTGATAGTGAGCATACATTTTAAAATTCTTTTAATACAATATCAATTTACATTCCATAATGCGTATTTTAAAAAAATCTCTAAAATATTATTTCTAAATTTAAACAAATTTTACAGCAAAAAGTGAAGACAATGCAAAGCAATTTGAGAATTTACGTTATATAATTTTTGTACACTATGAAAAAAAAAAACATAAATTGATGCTACTCAAGGATAGAGACATTTGAGAATCAAGGCATGTCTATCTAGAATATATTAATTTATTTTTACTATAAGCCTCAACGTCATTCTAATAATCAGTACACATCATCATTCATTTTTAAAAATCTATTTTGCATCCAACAGCAATTAACTCGCCAATTACAAGATAGAACAATGCTTTATAAAGTAAGTCTCTTTATGGAGTTTGGGGAGAGGTGTTTTAGTTGTGAAAAAAATGTCCTAGTGTCACATGAATTGAACCCAGGACCCTTGGATTAGAAGATAAGCATCTTATTAAACTATTATACAACTCCACACCCAGAATGATAATTCACAAGGCTAAAACCTATTTATTAATTAAAGCTTAGAAAAATTAGCCTTTTTCAAATTATTTTGGAAGCTACTTGATATATATATATTTTTTTTTTTTTTGCCAAAAAACTGGCCATAAATGTTAGAGAATTAAGGCCAGTCAGGCTTGGTCAAAACAAAACTACTTTTTTTGTGCCGTAACATGTAAAATTCTGCAAACTAACCTGTCCAGCATATTTCTTCCATAATGGTTCATCATCAGCAATGACAAATTCATTTAGGCCGAAGCGTTTTCGTCGCTGCGCAACGTCAGCTGAGTAGAGCCCCTGTTTGGTGTCAGCTCTCAGACGATCACATACATCTTCAACTGGTAAATGACTTGCTTCATCTGCATCCATATTTTCTATATCTGGTACCTAAAAAATAATTCACAATTATCACGTTTTAGAACAGAACTTGTTACTTACTAATAATGAAGATGAACATTGATCATTAAAAATTTAACAAAATTAAAAATTTATTTTTAATTTTTTTTGTAAGTAAATTGTAGTTGGAGATTCACATCACTACCAAGCCTCACAACTTTTTCAACTGACATATCAAAACCTGATAACTTAAAACTTAAAAAATTAAAATAAAAAATTTAATAATAGAAACTCACAATAATTATTAGTTATCCAATGTATATATTCAGTTAGAGACACATCAGTTGAAAAAGCTAAGTCTGGTGACTATGGGCAATAGCTGTAGCAGCTTTGGCAATGTGGTGTGTGACGTCAGGATTACAACTCTATAGATTCTACTAGATTGGTATTAAATATGAATGCATTGTTTCTGCAAGTAATACAGGTCCAGAGATCATGTATCATTACAAAATATAATCCTCAATGATTGCCTTCACCATTCTATCTTAACTGGTATATATTATAGTAAAATTTCCTTTTTTCTGTTTATTTATATATTTATTTGCTTATTTCTTTATTTCAAAAACCACATCCAACAGCAGTGCAGTGCCAATCACTGTGTAAAAAATATAAAAAACACACAATAAAAATTTAGATTTAAAGAACCACAATTGTTGATTTAGTTTACTATTGTGTAGATGATAGATTCTTATGGTTGGTCTCCAAATTTTATTTAATATTGTTAACATTATTTTTGTAATTTTTAAACATATATTATTTTAATGATATTGAATTCAATCTAATTCAATTTTATTGTGCTTCAAATGCCATCAAGGGCCAATATCCATTTGGAATTACATTCACAAATACACCGTAATAAATAAATACATAAAAAAAAATGAACAACATAAAATAACAAAATAAATTAATGCAATGAAACAATATCACAACATAATTTTTTTTTTTTTCAGAAACAGATATCACACTAAAAAAAATTGATTTTGCATAAGACTTTCACTATACTGTACTCGCTCACGGCGAAGGGAGATATGAGGCTTGTTTCATAACGTTGATGTGTTATATATGCCTGGGTTACACAGTTCCATTGTTTTTGGCGGGTAAATACCATTAGGAATCTGGCTTATATCAGTTCATCCAGGTAAGTATTCATGAAATAGATGCAGATATGACACTAAAAAAAAATTGGTTTTGCGAATTTTAATACCCGCTCCCCTAAATGATGTTTAGTGGAAATAGATCGAAAGATGTTCCCTAATAATAATAGAATGGCATATAATTGGCCTACTGATGGTAAATTAATTTTTTAATTTCCATAGAAACTGATGGAAAATTTATTTATATATAAAAATAACCTACCTTTTCAATTAACTTAGCCTTAGCTTCTTTTAATTCTTCATTTGCATTCTTTTCAGTGATTTTGAACATGACTGTGTAAATGCATGTTAACTCTTAACATGCAATCAGATGAGTGAATGAATGTAAAAAATGTCCTTGTTTTTAAATTTTGCTTTCCAAAACTAGGTGCAAGTCAGAGGAAGCAGATATATTTTGATGTTGTGATGACACAACAAATGGTGCTATGATAGTTGCACTGAGGGATTAGTTATCAGGCTTTAGTGAACAATGCAGTCCTCCACTTTCCGTGTTATAACCAAGTACCTGCAATTTATAAGATATGGGAATAAATAAAATGTTATGTTCTTGTTCATTCAGTTTCTCTAGTTAGCCTCTAGGTTTGCTTTTCCCAACTGGTAATATACCACAATTTGCTATATTTGCCTGTAATCCTCCCACAATATTAAGTATATAGTTTTCACTGTGAATACATCAAGAAAATTGCTTGAAACATATGGTAGGTGCGTAGAATCATAACTACTGAATAATACAATATATTGAGGCAAGGCTTAATTTTCTGCAAAATTTGTGTAGATATCGACTCATATTTTTTTAAAGGGTGGAGAGCTTTCATAAGCCTAAATATTCTAAGGCCCTACTTTAAAGTTGGATCTTGTGCACTGATACTATGCACTGTATAATAAACATTTTGCTGGAATAAACATTTCCAAAAACATTATCGAAAATAAACAACAAACAGAAATGGACATAACTTACTAACTACTAGTACTGAGCTAAGCCCTAGAGCAGAGTTTTGAAAACAGCAATGCAGTAAGATACACATAATATTCAAGAGATGGATCATACTTAAATAATACTAGATCTGGTGAATAAGACTATTACCCATTTCACACTGATGCTATTTCGCAAATATTAACAACTTGTAACAAGTTGTAACCAGGTTTTGATGAGTGTGAAAGCAAAATCCTTGTAAACTTTCCAAGATTTCACAGGGGTCCCCTGAGTTATCTCGGAACAAAAACAGACCATCGCGAGGCCTGTTTTTTCCCCGAAATCTTCCGAGTTGTTGTTGCGCATGCGTCATGTCCATATTTTGACCTTTTTGCGGGCTGTGTTTTTTTTTTTTGTTTAGTTCATACGAATGGCGGCAGCGATGGAAAACGTATCAACATTACTACCATTTGTTAATAGGCCTAGACCTAAAACCAAAAGAAATCTCGCTAAATTTCACATGTCTGATGTAGAAACAATCACGAGGCATCGTAAAATACGCCGACAGAACCAAAAATCTCGGAATATCAAACTTGTTACAACTTGTTAATAGTTGTTAAAAGTTGTAATATTTTCTGCTAGTGTGAAATGGGTATAAGATTAAGAGAGTGCTACTCAATGGAGAAAATTTAGGCCTACTGTACTACTCAAGCTGGATTTAATGAGTCTAGTAATCTTGGCCTAGCCAAGTAATAATAAGACTGGCCTAGGCTAGCTAGTGCCCGGGCCGATCGATGCTATGTTGTAGGCCTCGGTAGCCTAGCCTGGGCCCCTAAACTAAGCCGCCTAGCTATTACTAGGCCTAGCGCCTATGCTAGGCACTCCCGCCGTAAGTGGCTAACTTACAATACTCAGTGAACTATTAATTTACCTTATCCTGCACCTATATTACACTGAATATTTATTATACAATATTGTACAAACCAAATCATTTCATCTCATCATTCATACCATAACGTTCCTTCCGATCAACCGCCTGACTTTTTCGGATATTGATGTTGACAAAATCATTAAGTAAATATCGCCCTCTATAGTCCTACTATCAAAAAACTATTTTTCAGAGAGGGCGTTATTATTAAAACTTTTTCTGATTTATACTTTGGCAAAAGCAGTGTACAGTGGTTTAGTTTCTCAAGTTTTCTAAGACTATCGCGTAACTTTTTATGGTATTAGAAGATTGGAAATGGTAAGTTTTTCTTTTGCGAAAATGCGTTGTCTTTTTGGCACCAGATTTACTAAACTTAGCCAAAGGTTTCAAGTGTGTCTCGCGTGTTCACAGAGTGTGCTCAGGGTGCTGTATACTAGCCTAGGCCTAGGCCTAACTCTCTAGGGCCAAGACTGCTCTGGGTGGGTCGAGCAGGGCCTTGCAGGCCTAGGCCTACTGGAGTTTGTAGACCTAGGCCTAAGCCTGCTAGTACTAGGCAGACTAGCAGTAGGCCTAAGGCTAGCTACATCACTAGGGCAGGCTTAAGTCCACCATGGAGAAAATGAGTAATTATTTTAAAATTCATTTCATTTAATCATTCCAAAACATTAAAAAAAATAACAAACATGAACAGTGAGCCAACGAAAGTAATAACAGGTAGGCCTAAGTTATTTTTGTATACTTTACTACCTAGAGAAAGCCAAGTACTGGGACACTGTATTTGATTTGGTGACATATCTTCTTTTTGTGATTTTCTAACAAGAAATTCTTCCTGTTGTCAGTTTGAAGATATCACTATCATCAGTATATAGGCTGAGTAGGCTCTTGATAAAATTACTGAAAGAATATGACTGACTGGGTACATTGCAACAGTTGCTTCACTCGACCACATGGTGGTACAAGGTTCTTTCTGACAAACTGTGGACATATATTTTGCCAAGCGTGTGTTGAAAAAGGTAAGCAAACTGTGGGCATGTATTTTTCCAAATTATTTTGTGTATACTTTTTTTTTATCACTACTATTCATTAATACTTACACTATTTGCATTTTTGTTTAGGCTTATTATTTGTATTCATTGATGTACAGGGCTCTTTTGTTATGAAACTAAAAATGTAAATTAAATTAAATTAAATTGTCTTGTCACTTTTTAAGTAGAATAATTCAGGCCACAAAAAAAAAAAAAAAAAAAAAAAATTGTGCTACAACCATAAAAATTTAATATTTTTACAGGATGTGCTGTACACTATATAACCCAATTAAAGGGGTTGCATGGAGCAAGCAAAAAATATGTCTTTTTAAAAATGTATTATTTTTATCTCTATTTTATTTTAAAGCCCTGGACAATGCACATACCAATGCTTTGGTTTATGGTACACTATAGAATAATTTATTTATTTTATAGGATTTATGTAGTGCACATATCCATAAAACTGCT